CTATGTTTAATATTGAATGTCAACTATGTTTTTCTTTTAAAGTGTGTAATTTTATAGAAGTATGTGGCTAGAAAAAAAATTTTTTTTTGAGTGTTAGCCATGCTTTGTGTCTAGTTAGTCATTGATAAACTCTCTTTATCTAGGAGGAAATTAGCAGCAAACGATAGTTTAGTTCCTGCTTCTTGTTTATTAGCTTGGAGAAGCCTCGTTATTTATTGGGACTGTAGTGCTCAGTTTTAGGTCCATCCTGTTGAGATGACTCATTGGAAGCAGTGGCACGGGACTCAGCACAGTTAGAGAGGAGTCATAACTACATCGGTTGCTGGACGTAACCTTTCCAAGAGAGACTGTGTGCAGAATTGCCACCTTTCCCTTCTTTGCAACATCCAGAAGGAAGACATTTCTTTATAAGTTGTTTTAAAGTGTGCTCAATTTGATTGGGCCAGGGAAGATTTAGACAAACTAGTCTAGAAACCATCCTTCAGCGAATACATTATGGTTGAAATGCCTATGGGACGTCCAGCGAAGGTGTCAAGTAGAGTTGAATATGCAAAACAGAAGGTCAGGAGAGAGCTGGGCTTAGAAGTACAGATGACATCTGAATGGTTTTTAAAACTGGGGTAAGTGAGATGGATTATCCTGGAAGTTTATTTAGAGGAAAAGGCAGTGTTGGGCATAAGTCTTAGTAACACTTAAGGGGCTGGCTAAAGAGGATTTCACAAAGGAGTGAACAAAGAGATAGGAGGAAAACTGGACGAGTTTAGTGTTATGGAAGTCAAAGTGTGAAAAGGAGAGACAGGTCAGTACTCAGGTGTGACAGAGAGGTCAGGTAAAATAGGGAAGGGCTGAGAATTGTCTGCTGGTGCTGAATTCTTAATTCCATTAAGACTGATAAGAACAGTCTTAATGGGATTGTAGGAGTAGCACTACCACAGAAAATAAGCAGCAAGTGGAGAACAAAAATCCATGCTTCGGTTTATCAGGACTGTTGCATTAAGTGTGGGGTTATGAGTAAGTAAAGACAATGTGTAGTTAATTTTTTGAAAATTTGCTTGAAACTATGGCGAGGAAAGCATAGCTAGCAGGAGATGGATTATGAAGGGGTTTGGTTTTGTTTTTAAGATGATAGAGAATTGGGTCTCTTTAAGTGTGAATGGAAATGAACTGACTTTGAGGGAGAGGTTGAAAATAAAGCCAGGGCCGGGTTAGGGAACATAATGAATCTAGCAAGGTACTGGAGAACACTAGAGGGAGAGCAGGAATCCGGTTTGAGGAGAGAGATACCTGTCATTTAATAATGGGTTGGAAGAGGATTGAGATTAGGTGGGTCTGGATGCAAAAAAGTGTGTGTCATTTTGGTGGCAGAAGATTAGAGGTGCGTTCTGGGGATGTCTTCTGTGTCTTGCATGAAGTAGAAAATGGTCATCTGTGGGGAGAAGGGTAGTGTTGAGATCAGATTTAGAGGAGAGTGCAGGCTCTTGGATGATGGAGGAGAGGGCTAGCCAGGAGAAAGAAAAGATTGAGGATATCTTTCCTTTTCTCCAGCAGCATGTAGAAGTCTGAATATAAATGTGGGTAGGTAGTTGGTTAGATATTAAAGATGAGACGTGTTAGCTAATGAGGTAGAAGAGTGTGACACCACAGAGGGGTTAAGTAAATTTTATGTTGAGTACTGACAAATAAATTCAGTTTGTGTTGGTCTAGATACGGAATTTTGCCTGGTGGGAGCAGCAGAAAGACAAAGGAGTCTGGGATGTGAAGAAAGTGATAGAAGTAGTGGCATTGTCTAAGCTGCACAGAGCTGACAGTAAGGATCAAAGTCAGAGTCAGGCCCCAGGGACCAGAATGGTAGTGAGATGCAAGACCAGGTGTGGCGAGCAGTTACTGAGAGAGCTGGTGGGAGTGAGATCTGTACTTACTTATAATTTCACAGAGCAGTTGGGGTTGATGAGATTCAGCCTGTGTCCTGAATGACGATGTGTAGATGACTTAAGTGGTTTGGAAGTAAAGATCGTTGGGCTGAGGTTAAGGAACAATGCCAGAGTTTTGAACAGGTCAGTGAACCTGGTTCCAAAGTCTGATTCACATATTTTCTTTGATTCATTACCCAAGGTGGTTTTGCTGGGTTGAATGTCCCTCTGCCCCCCAAAAAAAAAAAAGTTGAGGCATTTTGGCATATTGCCCACAAAACGTTTTGTCATTTGATACTCCCATTCTTCATCCTGTATCTCTTCACACTTAACACCAGAAATTTTTCCAGTCTTTTCCTGTATGATGGTCTACTGGATTAATGTCTGACATTAAAATTTGTGCTTTTGGTTACTAACGAGGTTGAGCTTTTCTTTTTATTGGTTGTGTTATTGAGTTGCCTGCCCCTGTCATTTGTCCAGTTTCCTTTTGGTACAAGAACCGTTTCCTACCATTTCTCTCAGTTTACTTTATTTGCATTTTTCCTTTTGGTATTTGGCTTGTTTATTTGAATCGCCTATTTAGTTTGTCAATTTTGATCTGTGTTTAATGATAAGCACGTTTAGTGTTAGTTCATGAGTACTTTCTTAGCCACATCGTGTAGATGTTGATGTGTGTAGAGTTCTCATTGTTTTGTTCTTAATATTTAACCACAGTTTTGATTTCTTTGAAGCCAGTGTTGTTTAGTAGTAAATGATTGGAGGTTTTTTTTTGTTATTTGTCCTACTTTCCTTAACTTACAAAGATTTTTGTTTTTTGAGTCCCTCCATTTTGATATACAAAGTTAGAGTGTGCGTTTTATTTACTTATTTAGGTTTTTGAAAATAGTGAAATAGTCTAAACTTTAAAAATATCTGTGCTGTGGGTCTTGGAAATAAAAATATAGTCCCTGTAGGATAGAAAAGCCCATATATAATTAGGCCTATCTAAATTGCCTACTCATCCTGACCTGCTAAGAACTGAGATTCTTGCTTATTTTTAAAATTTTATTTCTTTTACCTTTTTCTTCATGTATTTTTTCTTAATTTCCTTTTTTTGTCACATATTTCTATACTATTATTAACTTAGTCATTTAGCAAGAGATAATTGAGCACCTGCTATGTGCTAAATCACTGTGTTATGTTCTGAGAACTGGATTCACTCATAGTGACGCATGTGGTCTGTAATTCATTTGTGATTTTCACCCAGCAATCACATACAAATATTTGCATCTCTTCTCCCTCTCTAAACAAAAAGATGTAAACAGAAGCTTATCATTCACCACAGAATGCTCTCACCTTGCTCTGCCACCACTCATTTGACTCTGAGCAGTCCATTTAGCATGTAAGATAGCAGTTCTCAAACTTTCGTTTTCAAGACCCTTTCACATTTAAAAATTATTGAGGGCTCCAAAATAACTTGTGTATATACTTATATTTGTTGTTATTTACTGTATTAGAAATTTAAACTGGGAAGTTACTTGTTTATTTAAAAATAATAAATCCATTAAGTGTTACAATTAATTTTTTGTGTGTAAACAACAATAACAAAAAGCATCGAGAAGACTGACACTTGTTTTTCAAATCTCTTTCATGCTTGACTTAATAGAATAACTGGAGTCTCAGCTGCTTCTGCATTCAGTCTTTCGTGGTACCACATGCCTCTGGAAGACACAGCTGTATACTTGTGAGAAAATGGGGGTGGGAAAAAAGACGATGTCTTTAGCTCTTGCAGACCACCTACCAGGGTCCTGAGAACCTCTGGGACTCCCTGGATCACACCTTAAGAATCATGCTCTAGGTCTTAGCATCCTGTAGCAACACAGGGGCTTAACTGGATGGTCTTTAAAGGTTGCTTTAAAATTTAGGTAGTATGTTTTATTCCCCACCTTTATATAGTGGGTTGAGATTCTTGTGATGGATTTCTACTTTGGGGAACATCAGAATAGCAGTGATGGTACTGACTAACTGCAGAAAGGTCAGTATACTGCAGGGGTGATTTATGAGGCATCTGTAAAATACTCTGCTCTAAAGCTTGGAGTCAGAGAGCTGGTTTTGGGTTTCAGCTACTACTTAATAGTAGCAGTGTGATTTGGGGAGGAACCTCCCTTTGTATCCCTGTTCTGTTAAGTTTTCCACTTAAAGCTCAGAAGTATCAACTTAGACAATTTTCAGAAGTATTCTGGGAAATTGAAGGCAATGAAGTTTCCCTCCGTGATTCTTGGGCCTTTAAAGTAATGAAATTTAGTTCCATTATGTTTCCTTGCCTTTTTTACTCCTGTGCCACCCTACTTCAGAAATTGATTAGACTTATTTTCCAAATACTTAATAATGAGCCTGTTGTCATGTATCCTTAGGAATCAGAAAGACCATAAAGATTGTCTATTCCAGGCCCTCTTAGTTTATAGATGAGACTGATGCTGAGAAAAACTAGGCTACTTGTTCCAGATCATTTAAGGAATACAGTGGTTCTTAGCCTTGGCTGAATTTTGGAACCTAGTGTAAAGCTTTTAAAAAATACTTATGTCCAGACCCTACCCTCAGAAATTATGCTTTAAAATTAATCTTTGTAAAGCCCCCTCAGGTGATTATAATGAAACATTAACTGCTTTTAAAGTGAGTAATTTGCCTCTTAACATCCTCATTTAACCTTTGTTATTATTGTAGATGAGACCATTTTATTTCTTAGACCTTTTAGATTAGAGGGCTTTTCTTTGCTTTCTTACTCTGGGAAATGAGCCCACAAACTTTATAATGAGAATCAAAACTTTATGCTGTTGAAACCTTTACTTTGAATAAAAGTTGACTGGTAAAGGTTTTGTTTTAAAGTATGTATATATAACAGATAGTGATATAACAAAGTTTATATCTATCATACCTAATAATATGGGTTATTAATAATGAGTCTTTTTGGTATAATATTTAAAGGACATCTTTGAAGTTTTTGAAAGCATTAGTAATATGTGTTAAAAGTTTTACCTTACATCATTTATTCAGATTCTGAATTGTCGTTTGTTGTTTAGACTTTTTCAAAAAAATTTTATTTTCCTCTAGGTGAAAGCACTGAAAGAGAAGATAGAATCTGAAAAAGGGAAAGATGCCTTTCCTGTGGCAGGTCAAAAATTAATTTATGCAGGTATGAATTACATACAGAAATTAATATATCATTTTCTTGCTCACTGTGATATTTTAGTTGTAGGAATTGCCATCTTAATGAATTGTAGCATTGCAAATTCTGTCAGAAACATTGTACAGATAAAAGCAGTGAATAAGCAGTCATTTGAATATGTTATTAAAATTTAGTCCTCTATTCACATTTGCTTTATGTATTTCTCTATCTAATGATAGAGAGTTTTGCTTATTTTATCTTTTTTAAGTATTATATAGCTGTCTCTGGTTTTTTTCTAATTGAAAATTTTTTATTGAATCACTTTCATATGTGACATTCTGTAAGTGTAAGGTGTTACTCTTTTAACATTTATAGATTGTGACATGATTGACAATGTAGCAGTATTTATCACATTACATTATTATTGGACAGTATTGTGGTGCAATATTATTCATTATATTGTGCATTGGATCTCTGTGGCTTATTTACTACCCATTACAAGTTTGTACCCTTAAACACCATCACTCTTGCCTCCCCGATGCCCCAAATCCTTGGTAACCACCAAGTTAAAATACTCTGTTTTTCACAAGTTTAACTTCTTTAAGGATTCCACATATAAGTGATATACAATATTTGACTTACCTCACTCAGCATAATGTTCTCAATGTCCATCTTTGTTGTTGAAGATGGGAGGATATCTTCTTTTTTGTGGCTGAAAAATACTGTATATATGGGTTACTTCTTTTTATTCATTCATCCATTGATGGGCACACGAGTTGTTTTCATATCTTGGCTATTATGAATATTGCTGCTGTAGACATGAAAGTGCATATGTCTTTCCAAAATCCTGTTTTCATTTCCTTTGGGTATATACCCCAAAGTGGAATTGCTGAATTGTATGGTAGATCCATTTTTAGTTTTTTGAGGATCCTCTATATTCTCCATAGTGGTTGGACCACTTTACATCCCCACCAACAGTGCATAAGGAATCTTTTTTCACCACAACCTCAGCATCCCCCTTTGTCTTCTTGATGATGGCCATTCTAATAGGTGTGAGGTAATATCTCATTGTTGTTTTGGTTTGTATTTCCCTGATGATCAGTGATGATGATTATCTTTTCAGGTTGTTTGGTTTTTTTATTACTGAGTTGACTGAGTTCATTATATATTTTGGAGATATTAACCTCATATCTGATAGATGATTTGCAAACATTTCCCATTCTGTAGTTTTTTTTTTTCATTTTAATTGTTTCTTTTGCTTTTGAGTTCGATGTAGTCCCATTTGTTGATTTTTTTGTGTGTGCTTTTTGCATCATGCCCCCCAAATTATTGCCAAGACCAATATTGATGATCTCTTCCCTATGTTTGCTTCCAGGAGATTTATGGTATCAGACCTTGTATTTGTCTTTGATCTATTTCAAGTTAATTTTTGTGAGTGGTGCAAAATAGAGGTCCACTTTCATTGTCTGTGTTTGTTCCTCCAGTTTTCCCAGCACTATTTGTTGAAGAGACTGTTCCTTCTCTGGCTTTTGTATTTTTAATCAATCTGAGCATCTTTTTTAATCTATTGAAGTGAAACCATTTGTACTGATTATGTTTATTAATGTACTTGGAATCATTTCTGTAAGATTAAAATTTCAGTTTATCTGGTTTTTTAAATAAAATACCAAAATTGACTGAAGAATATAGAAAGCCTTATATGTCAAAAGACACAATAAATAAGTAACAAGAAAAGATTACTATTCAGATCATATAAAGAGCTCTTACGAATCAATGAGAGGATGATCCAATTAAAAAGCAACAAAGGATATAAATAAGAAGTTGCAAATTTAACTAGCCTCAGTAGTAACCAGGGAAATGTATGTTAAAAATAGACTTGATACGCTAATTTTGTGCAGGAAATTCTTTTTTTTTTTTTTTTTTTTTTGGTCCTTCAAAAGAAATGCTGAACACTGTCATTGTAGATGTCAGTAAGGTGGACCTTGAATTGCCCTTGGATTCTTGTCTCTTCCTAGGTAGAGATTTTGTAGTATTTTCTTAACTAAGGTGGTTTAGAGGAAACACTAGCCCTGTGATCAGGAATCAGAAGCCTGAAGAGGTACAGGGAGTTAGTGGCAGACATAAAAGTAGAATTGCTGGTTCCTAGTCTTGGCCTGTTTTCTCATTCCTGTACAAGGTAGAGACCTTTCTGTCTTAATGCTTGCAGCTTTTGATTTAGTAATTTTTTTTGATGAAAAGCTAAATTAAAGGAAAAGGAAACCTGAAGGAATCCTGGCCTCACATTTGACCTTCTGCAAGACCAGACTCTTAAACACTTCTTGTGCCTTACTCAGTTCTATTATCATCTTGTCGTTTCTGTGTATGAAGCCGTTATGAGAGTACCTTTTATAGCAGTGGAGTATTTCTGTTTTGCAGATATCCAGTATTTGTGGGAGTAGGAAGTTTGTTCTTTTCTCCTTCCATCAAGAAGGATTATAGGTTATCCCCTGGGGATCCTTGAGCCATCTCAGTATTGGATTTTATTTGTCTTCATGATCTCCCCTTTCTCAGGACCTTAATGTTTCCTTACCCAGCAAGTCTTTTTACTATAATTAATAATTTTTAAGAATTGCTTGGGATTGGGTTATCTACATACAGTGTATGTGTTTGATATCTTAGTCAAATGCTTAGGCTTCTTCACTAAT